CCAGGCAGTAACTCACAGCAACAAACTTCCACAAACACAGGTGATCGGATAATCCTAAGTTGCTTTTTTCCAATCCTAATGTAGAAAAAATAATCAAAGATGCCCAGAATGAAATGATGATGAAACATACTTTGCTGAAACAACCGTTGGTAACCTTGAACACTTCCGTGTTTGATATCCATTCTCAATCTGTGGAGTCGTTTAGGGAATTTGAAGGTGAATCTGGGCAGCTTGTGTTGTCAACTGGGAACAATAATGAGGTTATCCAGTCAAAGGTAAAGGAAATGGATATCAATTCTAAGTTGTGGCATCACCAACGAGAATATGATGATGAAGAAGATCGGGGTAATGGATTTGCTGGCTATTCATCTGAAGAAGGCGAGCAGGAGTTTGATCAGGAGAGTGCAGGAGAGGACCTTGATGCTACAATCAAAACACAGTCCCATGGGAAAACTACAGCACCTCCAACGAGCAATTTGAACTATCATGCACCTGCTTTCATTCCCAGGAATTCTCCAACTGGTGCTAAGCCAAAATGCTGCAACTGGAAGTTTACCTCAAGACATAGCAACATCTTCCAAACAGGTCACTCCAGGTGCTACTACTAATTCTCCAACAAGAAGTTTAAATCAAGCTGCTACAACAGGCGAGGGGAAGATTAATACAGTTGATCGAGGAAAATATGGGCAGGAGCTAATGGTGACCACTGAAAGATTGGAGTACAATGCAACAACAAATGTTGAGAAGCCTTCTTCAATGGATATCTCAAGCCAACATGCAGAACCATATACAACTATGATGCAACAGCAGCAGCTCACTTCAAATACTTCAGCTGTTATGCAACTTGGAGATCGAAAAGCAGCAGCAACAATACAAGCTGTGCAGCAGCAAATTGTCACAACCAATCCAGTCATTTCAGTAGAGGAAAGAAAATTATTGGATTCAATGGTGAGTCCACATCCAGTAAAACCTTTAAATCCTGTTACTTGTAGCACTGGTCACATGAGCAGAAGAAAGAACAAATTGCAAAACACAGAACAAAGCAAGACAATGGTGACAAATACACAAGGTCAATATGCATTTGAGACAATTGTTATCGACCAAAATGTTCCACAACCAGTGCACCTGGGGAGAGACTTGTATGAAGACGGAGAGGAAGAAGCAATGTTACAACAGTGTAGAGCAGAGGCAGCAAGAAAAAGAGATCTATCACCAATGCATAACGGCAAAGGTAAGAAGACCCATACAAGGAAAAATAGTTGGGACGACAAGGTTAGTGATTTTTTAAATGTTACGCGACCTCCAATGAGAGTTGCCAAACAAAAGATGGTCGCCCCAACTACATCTACAAAGTCCAATCGTTCAAAAAAGAAATCTTGAATTTTGAATACATCTTGAAGAATTGGGATTGTGATGAAAAAGAGTTACAAATTGAAGAAATTACAAGCTCGGACAAGAAGGGACAACATTTTAATTCCTTCATCATTTTATTCTACCATTATATTAGCATTCTCATTTGTAATATCATCACAGAGTATGTTATAAACTCTGTGATGATCATTGAATATTTGGTACTTTCCAGTTCTTATTTTTTACATGCATGTTAGTAGGTGAGGCTATTTAAAGCCTCAATAGGAATAGTAAGGTAAGGTTTAGCCGGGTTAGTGCTACCTTGGTCCTATGCCTTTGGAAAATATCCACACGGCTATGAGATTATATGCCCTCGTGAGACTATGCCGACAACTACCCCATGAATCCTCTACATGAGGCTGTCATCATAAGGCAATGTGAGGCGCAGATGAGTGATTATATAGCCAAGGCATATGGGTAACAAAACCGGTGCTATTGTCACCCTTATTTGTACTTATCCGAATTGTTGTATTTTCTTTTCTTTTTATTAATAAAAATCTAGCCCTAGGCGCTTGCCTAGTGGATTGCCAAAAAAAAAATACACTTTAACACTTGATGAAATAAGAAAGTTATCTCTTCTTCTCTTATTCTACTTATCTTCTTGTTTTATATTGTTACTTTGAGCTACATTTTTAACACGTTATCACCATGAAGTTGAGTTTTTTTCGTTGTTCAGGTATATTTGTTCATTTTGTTTTCTTTTGTTGTATATTTTGATTTCATGATTAGTATCTTTAATATGCAGTTTTATAATTTCTCACATCTCTAGATATGTGTAAAAATAAAGAATTCTATGTCTCTTTATTTTAAGTTATTTGTATGATTGTCATGTGAAAGTTGCTAATTTTCATGTTAATAGAATTAATTGAGAGAAGAATACTTATTTTACGTTGTTCGACATTTGAAATTGTGTTAAAGTTAGAAGACACTTTTGTTCTAGCTAACATCAAAGATATACTAATAAGTTGAAGAAACAAATAGTATTCTTTTCTATGGAATTATCACTTTAGTGCATATAGATCACAAATTTGATATTATGTCAATTTTTAAGATTCTTTACGCTATATCCTAATTATTTATCATCTTTGATAGTTTTCACTATGTCGAATTTGTCAAAGCTTGAGTTTGTGGCACTTGATATTTCTGGAAAGAATTACCTATCATGGGTTCAATGCTGAGATTCACTTAGCCGCTAAAGGCCTTCATGACACCATTACTCAGGGTAATGGGGCATCGAGCCAGGACAAAGCGAAGGCCATGATTTTCCTTCGTCATCATTTGGATGAAGGTTTGAAGGTTGAATATTTAACAATGAAAGATCCACTTGAATTGTGGACTGGCATGAAAGAAACGTATGATCACCTTAAGGCTACGGTACTGCCAATGGCTCGATATGAGTGGATGCACTTACGGTTGCAAGATTATAAGACCGTAAGTGAGTATAACTCTTCTGTATTTCAAATAACTTCCCAATTAAAATTATGTGAGGATGTTATGAATGATGAGAATTTATTGGAAAAGACTCTTACGACTTTTCATGCCTCAAATATGGTATTACAGCAGCAATACCGTGAAAGGGATTTTAAAAAGTATTCTAAAGCTGGTAAAGAAACATGAGTGACGACAGCAACATTTACATTTATAAATTAGGTATATACATAACTTTGAGATCCAACTGCACAGATTGTCATATTGGCAATGATTTGATAGACATTGTGCAAAGATTCTACAGTCGCTGTGTACTCACCCCAAAACCTGGTCACTGGATTCACCATCACTATTTACTCTATACTCTTATGGAAAATCAACACATAATTCTTGGTGAATAATTAATGTAGCAGAAAGGAGATGAATAATTAGAATTTGCATGGTACAAATTGGAAGGAGGAGAGTTCCGCTGCAGCTATATAGAGACAATCGATCTTCACCTGTTTCACAACCTTCTTCTCTCGAGCTCACTGTAAAGATAAAATGCCTAAATTTACTAAAGTACACTACAAACGTCATTAGAGAACAACATTGCACTTGTTTGGCTACATAAGCCAATCCCATACCAAACTTGTCAAAGCTTGAGCTAAAGAAAATGCAGGGAGAGCACATCGTTGACAGTACCCAGACCTATCCCATTTTGAAAATACTGTGAAAGGCCAATTTTGTTGCGCCTTTCACTTAAGAAGAGGATACACTGGCTAGAGCATGAAAGGCATTATAATTCTATTGTTCCAGTATCAGAGCCTACGTTACAAAGACGGAAAGATGAATATTAAAGTAAGAAACTCAGTAATTCAGACAAGGTCACTACATAGGAAATATAAATCCATTTATACTATTATTATTTTGATAAATAATGGTAAAGTAGTATTATATCAGAAAAACCAGAATAAAGTAAGTGCTAGTTGGTATGAACAACCCAATAACAAACTATGAAAATTACTAATAAAATCTATCATGGCGTCTACGTCATTAACATTGATTCTAGCTTATGTTACACCAAAAAAGGGAGCAAAGATCATTTATGCTTAAGGCTAACTATGTTCTCCTCTCTGTCTTCAAATATTCTCAAGTTCTTTTCCCTCCATATGACCCATCAAATAAACTTATAATTATGTTGCTTCATGCAATGCATGTCTTAGTTGTTTTTACCCTGAATATAAATCATCTTTAACCCAGTTCCAAAACAGAATCAGGAAGATAATGCCTTGCGTGAAGCGAGTAGAAGCAAGGTTCTTTTGACATACTCCAACGTTTAGCGAGCTGAAGAGGAATTCTCATATTGCTTTTTGGTGGTCTCTCTCTCCACCCCCCACCCCTCTCTTTTTTAACTTTATATATAGTTGTAGTGACCAAGGGAGGAGGAGTTGATCTAAGGTTAGAGTTTGTTGAGATCCTGAATTGGTATCAAAAGATGTGAGTTAGCATTTGAATGAAAAATCCATAAACAAAATTTGGTGGAGTGACTAAAAAGTAGTTAACAATATCTAGAGTTTACTTTATTCAAATTCCTGCACCAACACATTGTCCTTTCCCTACAATAATTTTGTGTTTCTTCCAAACTGAGTCTCAAACAATGTTAGAATGCAATTTTGCATATCTACAGATTTATATGACCTTGAATGTTTGTGTAACATGAAAAGCTTACCTTATTTTGTGTTAGAAGGTGCATTCATGTTGAGTTCTTAGCGTCTTCTGCTTTTTCCAACTGCATAGAACAATGAGCTGAGTTAATGCACACGTTCAACTTAAAACTGACCATAACCGATGTAGTAGAAACCGGTAGAAAAAACAAATCGCCGTGCAAATTTAACTTACAATCTGATAGAACAAAAAAAACATGCCATCCTTAGCTCTTTGATTTTGAGTGCTTAACAAGCCAATCACCGGTTGAGTCAATATTGAGCCAATCACCTCTTTTCCTTTTATTGAAAAGGTAGGCCGAGTAGATGATTAAAGGAGTCAACTTAGAATGCAAGTGTAGACTGTGTTAGAAGGCAAGTTTCCAATTTCAGCTTAAGGTTTGTTTGCTTCATTCAATTTTTTCATATGCCCAATAGAAGAAATGAAAATCCACCTCTAAATGTTGCAACACTCTATGAGATAAAGACACTGAATATCATATTATGTTAAGTTCCTGGCACACTTCGTCCCATGAATATCCTTTCTTCTTTGCTCCCTTCAAACTTAACCCTTGGCATTTGCAATATTACATCTTTGATGGCTATGTGGATTCAATGGCAGGCTAGTCTGAATAGAAAATTTACTACCTATGCAAAATAGATAATTTAGTAAGTGTCTTCAAGATTTAATCACAATTCCTTTTTTTTTCCTTTTTGTAATGACCAAAGGACATCATCAGTACAAGCATGAGCGTGACCCCAAAGTACCTGAAATGCAGCAGTAAAAAGCTTTTATTTAGTGTCACATTAGATGAAAAAGTAATGTCAAGATTCAGAGTGTCGCTCCTGGAAAAAAAACTATCGAAGTCTAACCGTAAAAAAAAATATCAATCAAAATGCTCGACCAACAGGAATTAATCTCCACACCCCTATTACACAATATGTTGCACATGGTACATTAGCCACCAAAAAGCATAGGGAGCAAAATAGGGTTAATGCCACATTTAACTGTGGAATGGAATAGAAATAGTTGTATGCTCTGTATTGGAGAAATCCTTGGTAAGAAACGCTTTCCCAAATAGGCCCTATGCGACGCGAATCCGGATTAGTCGTATTCCAATGTGTGTACCGAATACCGAATTAAAAAAAATGGAGATTCACTAGCAAGAGTAACGTGTTAAACAATTTGTTCTATTTATTCCTATTTAACTACTTACAACTTTTGATCTAGTTGAATGACTGTTTAGTTTAACATATTAGAGAGCAGATGATGACTCAAATATATATCAGACAACATTAACTCAGGGTAATTCTAGAATAAAAAGAAGTGAACTCGTAACATGAATGAGATTACCCCATCGATATGCACTCATAAGATCCTTGACCAACAAAATCCAGTTGAACGTTTTATTAGAAATTACTACCTTGATGAGCTACTTGTATCCTACTTCCAACATCTGATGGCAATAGTTGCACCCACGTAATCAATGGCAAAGATACTTGATTGAGTTCTTGATGTTCAGTTGCATTCGTTCGCTATTGAACAAGCCTGTAGCATATTAAAAAGATTACACATATTCAGAAGCTTCTTACTTGTTCTAAAGCCAGGCTGAATCACAATGCACATCCTACCATCTAACAAGGCATATAAAAATGCTCCGCGAAACAGGACGGATGAATGCTGGATCCCGTTGTGAATACATCAGACCGACTAAAAAAAGTAACTACAATATTCAGATAGTGTAGTAGGTGGAGTGTTGATAGTTTAGTTCTTTTGATATCTCAAGTTCCTCTTAAAGCAACTACTTGGCAGGTCTTTCTTTTGTTGATAAGTCTACCGTGCAGGTCCCTATTTACACTCTTTTGCGGAATTTTTCTTATACTTCTAGAACTACAGGAAAGTATCTTGTGAAGAAAATCAAAATCAGGTTTGATTCTGTAAGCACAGAAGAAAGCATGTAGCTGCTGATATTTTACAAGTGTCAGTTTTAAGATAACTAGGAATTTTTTAAGATGGGAAACTTTAAAACATTCACTCTATGGATATCCATATTCCTTCCAATCTTCACATCCAGTAGCGTGACCTTCAACTCTTGCTGCCTGATTCATACAAGGAGCTCTCTTATTACTTGAAAGTGTTATTGTTATTCCTTGGTTGAAGTCTCCAAAACTATTAGTATCACTACTATATCTCAACAAATGTTAATAAAGTGTCACCTAATATGACATAACAAAGAGTTAATAAGAGTTAAACAACCGTTACTTTGGTAAAGAATTAAAGAATCGTTCCTTTAGAGCAAAGAGTAAAGAATCGTATAATCTAACCAATAATCTTTGTGAATCTCAACTATTAAAACGGTTGCGACTATAAAGCATTTGGCAACATGCAGTCTTTCTTTTCATATCCTATTCTCTTCATAATTAATTGATTTATATGTATTGTTGATAATTACTAATGGATAGTGCAAAATATGAAGTGATTGTACATGGGTGTGTCTCATTGGGAGAAAAAATAACATTATTGTCTACAAGGGAAAGGCAAATACCCACATTATCATCTTCTAAAAGGAGCATTTAATCGTGTCATCCCCAAATTAAGGTTTCTTCCTTCAGTTGGTAAATATGGTGGGTTCTAATTGTTTAAGGATATGACTTTCTTCTTTTTCTTCATTGAACAACTTTTTTATTTATTGATAATTTGAAAATTATCAGTATGGCTAATTCCAAGTATCTGACTAGCGAACGTGCTTTTACTATCTTTCAATTAATTAGTCTCCTCTTCGAATTTCCATAATTTCGTTATTTCTGAAATTATCATCACTAATATAATTCAATAAATTTAATTGATACTGCTTTTATCTTTTTATGTAGCTTATGGAAGAATTGAAGATACATGCACTAGCTGAATCACGAATCAGAAAGAGTGTATGAGGCTCATTCTTCTTTTTCTCTTTCACTGAAAAATAGTGAGTTTATGTAATTTGCTTTCAAATGGGTGCAAGTCTCATAAAGGAATAACCTTTTCCGTTTATCCATTTTGCTTTGATTGTTTGAATTTGATATATGTATGTATTTTGAGTATGGTCACCTTTAAAACATGTGAAAGTCGAAATACATAAAATAAATATAGTGATGGTTTTAATTTAAAACTCTTAAAAGAACTTAAAATTTTAGACTTGAAATCTGCCTACATGAACTCAAAATTAAAGACAAAAGAAAAAAAAACACTGATATGAAACTTGATAGTTGGTATCTCTTAAAAGAAAACACGGTAAAAGCAATAACAATAAAAAAAATAACTTGTAATGTATTAGCCATTATAGCAATGTTTGTCAAAAGTTGCTTTTGAGAATGTTACAAGAAAATTCTCTTGCACTTATCATTTTTCCTGTTGTTTTTACCAGTGTCATATAAGTGCATGCATTAGGGATTGATGCTATTGCAATCTGCAGTAAAGGATTTGCCAGAATTTTATCCAAATTTTTGGCTGCTCTTATGCTACAACAAGATTTTTGCCAAGCTTCTTTACTTCTAAGAGACACAAAACTAAAGCTTGAAAGAGTAAATTAATTAAATATTTGTCAAAGCCTCAATACACAAATAACTAAATATTTGTTCGTTATCTTTTTTTTTTGGTCTTCTTGCAGATATTGCTTATAGGATTCGCCTAACAAGTATTATACATCTGACATAACATATGCTATATATGATGTTTCCAACGTTAGGATTCTTTAGGTTATAGCATTGTTTTCAAAATTTTGGATGCCCCTTTTAATAACATTAACATGAAGTAATGATGTAATTAATAGTTTTATAATTCTTAATTTGATACTTGGGGGGGGGGGTGGATAATTTGGATCTCAAAATGTTCTTTTATATATTCATAATTAACAGGAGCTTTGCATTCCAGGTTATTGCTGCTACTTAACTCATGTTTTACGGGATATTTGGTTCTCCTATTTTTGTTACATTTTGCACTTATGTTAAAGGACTTAAAATATGAGTCTTATTTTATCGCGTGAGGTACAAATTGACTTCATGCCTTTTTTTCTTTTTAGGGGAATTCTTTTTCTTTGTAATTTATAATAGTTTTGGTTTTAAGGCACATGAGTGGTCAATTCAAGAGGCATACTTATATGTAGTGTTTCATGTAATAAGTAATTAGATACCATGTTTTTAAACAAAAAAAAGAACAAAATTGAAGTGTCACGCTTGGAGAACATGGAAAAAATCATTTATCTTATCAAAGAGTACTCTTTTCCGGATAAGCCATTGAATATAATGCTATTGATATTATTTATTTTTGAAATAAAAGATACGATAATATCAAAGAATACGAATTATATGTTAATCAATCTTACGGATGACTTTGAAATTTTTGTTGCTTGGCTATCTAAAGACCATGAGTTTACAAATTATATTTTCCTGTTTTAGGCTACTTTTTTGATATAGTAAAGATTGATTTTTATTATTATAAAGATTCTAACAATAATTATTCATGCATATTTTAATTTTTCTTGCTAACCGTGCGAAGCGCGGATAAATTAACTAGTTTCTGCATATGTTCCGATCCCCCTGACTCTATTCTTCCCCCTGACATATGTTTGCATATGTTCCCCCTGACTCTATTCTTCCCTTTTTTTGGCATCAACAAAAAGATACAGACACACAAAAAGGCATAAAGAAGTCCAACAAAGCTAACCCATGCCACGTATGTGCACACAATCATGATAGAAAAGAGAAGCTAAAGGGAAAACAATATTGTACAAGCAAAAGAAGAGCTGTTTTATTGATAAGAAATTTGATTATTTCAACAGGAGCAACAATGGTGAAATCCAACATGCCATCACAAAAAGACAAACAAAAAAGAAAAACAACAGCCACAAAATCATCAGAGCAAAAGATATCTGGCCACTGAGAGGATCCTAGAGGGTACTGGAAGAGGGAGGCTTGGAAGAGGAGGCAGCAATGGTTTTGAGATCTAGGTCCATGTGGGCAGTTGCAGACAACTGTTAGTCAAGCAGTTTCTCTCGCAGGTTCTCCACTAGTTGCCTAAGTCAGAACTTGTCTCATACCTTCCATATCCTAGATTGTCGGGCAAGCGTGCAGCCCCACAAGACATTTCAACTTTTGTTTTCTACTTTTGTTTTCTAGACATTTCAACAAACTTCCCGTTCCTGCTTGCAACATCCACAATGGCACTTTTCAAAATAAATCTTTCTCAACCACAAACTTTTGTAGATCTTTTTACTAAGGAACTAGGTTCCTCCACAATATCTTTATCAACTTCAACCACTGGAATGTGTTTATGAGCCACAACTTCCCCCTATTTCATCAACCTCTTCTTCTTTTTTCTTAATACTCTGCTTACTCTTCTGCAAGGCAGACTCAAAAGCCTCTTTCTTCTACAACCACCTGGTTTGTTTCAGCTAAAAGAGAATCAGGTTCTTCAACAGGTTCTTGTGTGATGGTGTCATGAGCCGAAGACTCAAAAAGCACCAGAGTCCTTTCATCCTCTAAGAATGGAGTTTCTTCCCCCCGAGATTTAGGAACAGAGAAGAAGTAGGGTTTGCAACACATGGAAGTGAGACAAGGTTTGATGGATGAGTAGAGGTGACCAGAGATGAGGAGGAAACTGGTATAGGTATAGTAGTATCAGGGATAGTGAAGAAGTGGGTTTCTGGTGATGGTGTTAAGGGAGGAGGAGATATGGGAGTGATGTTGATGGCAAGAGAAAAAGACGATTATTTGTTGGCCATGGTGAGAGAAGTTGTAGAGAGTTCTGAAGGAAAAATTAAAAAGATGCAAAGGGAGACAATGGTTTAGAACTGCTGGTCTGAAAAGTCGGATGATATGGCAGTTGAATTAATTTTGCTATCCTTTTTTTGGAACAAGCATACAAAAAACATATTACTACTAACATGTGGTGCAGGAACCAGGTTCCTGACTTATTTTTGTAAAAGGATTTTTGCATCTCTCCTCCGAAGTTCAACATTGTACCTTTAGCTTCTATGATCATCATGCGTGTTTACCTACAACGGTATAGATGTGAGTTAGGCCTAGTCAGAAAATATTTTAGCCAATTTTACCTTAGTGTGAGTATCATAGTCATGTCAGCAGAACCAGGTTCTCAATTAGGTTTAAGTAATCCCAATGTCATCTTGTTTCTCAAAGTGTTCCCTACTCAAAGCTTTGGTGAAGAAATCTGCAATTTGATCTTCTGTGCAACAAAATCTTATACAAATAAGACCATTTTCCACATTGTCCCTGAGAAAATGGTGTCTGACATCAATGTGCTTGGTTTTCTTGTGTTGAACCGGGTTCTTTGCCATGTTGAGAGCACTGGTGTTGACACATAGAAGCGGTACACAATTAATGTATCTTCCAATTATTGCTTGATCCACAGTGAATGAGCACATACGAGGCAGCTGCAACATATTCTGCTTCAGCTGTTGAGAGAGCTACTGAGTTTTGTTTCCTTGTACCCTTGAGATAAAGCATGACTAAGGAAATGAGCCATTCCAGATGTGCTTTTCCTGTCCACCGGATAACTTGCATAATCAGCGTCAGCATAACCAATAAAGTTGAAATTGACACCTGAAGGATAGTACAGAACTAGGTTCTGTGTGCCCTTAAAATATCTCAAAATTCTCTTAGCAGCTTTCAGATGAGATTCCTTAGAATTTGATTGGAACCTTGCACATAATCTCACACCAAATACAATGTCTTGCTTGCTGGCAGTAAGGTAGAGTAGAGATCTAATGATTCCCATGCTTCCATGTCAAACCTTTTCCAGAGTTCTTTAATGCATTTCTGCTAACTAATACACATTCCCTTTATGGACTGCTTCACTTGAAGACCCAGGAAGACATTCAGTTCCCCCATCATACTCATTTCAAACTCACTTCCCATGAGTTTAGCAAATTATTCACATAATGAGTTAGTTGTAGCTCCAAATATGATGTCATCCACATAAATCTGATCAACGAGCAGGTTCCTTCCCCATTTCTTCAAAGATAATGTATTGTCAATCTTTCCTATTGTGAATCCATTTTCCAAAAAAAACTTGGATAGTCTCTCGTACCAGGCTCTAGGGGCCTGCTTCAATACGTACAATGCCTTATCCAATTTGAATACATGTTCAGGATGTACATGACGTTC